CGAAAAGTATGAAAAAATCCATTATTAGTGTAGTATATTATTATATCCCATGTAATTAGTATATTAGTATATCGCTATTAACCTACTTTGCGTTGAATTTTCATCGATGTTAAGCCTAACAAAAATTTTAAATAATAATCATCGCTATTGTATCGTTAAAAATTAGAAAGTTAAGCTTCGTTTAAATACTGGCTCCCTTTCATGGTCGATCCACTATTGCCAGCTAAAACACGTAAAAATAATATTAAAGTAGCCAAGACATAGCCAAATATTGTAGCGCCACATCACTAGCGGACATTTGAAATTTGCCAACCAGGACGGTCGGTTGATAGGGGGTCGGATAATCGAGGCTCTACTGTAATTACAACTAGAATATTCTGACTTTGAAAATGCTGTCGATATATATTAAAATTGAAAGAATTTGTTAACCTTGATGAGCTGTATGAGGAATTTTTTGAGCATAGGGCTGTTTTATTAGTGTTTTTAATTAGACGGCCGGATGGTCGAGCGGTCAAGGTGACAGCCTACCGCTCTGGGGGACCCGGGCTCGAATCCGAACGGGTCGAAAAAATCCCCATGAATTTTTCGGGGGTTGGTCCGTCCGGATATGTCGGGCCCCGTCCCTCACCACCTTATTGTAGGTCTGACCGAACTCAAACCGGGACGAACCTTTCCCCGAAGAATTCCTTGGGTTCTTCGACCTGTCGGATTCGTTCCCGATTCTACCAAATCTGTAGGCCTACATCTAAACAGCTAGTTGCAGTGCACCTCAACGTAATAGCGATTATTATTTTATTTTTAGAGTTCTTCGAGAATTCTCGTCTAAACCAATGAGAAAGACAAACAAACCGAGATAAACGCCGGTAGCACCAATACTACTGTTAATTCCCTAAAATGATACCAGTGTGCGGGTCATTCGTTTTCGATCGCAAATAACCGAATACGCATTCCAAGAAAACTCTCACCGACTTTGGCGTCACGAAAGGAGACCTCGGCGACTATCGCAAATAAGTACATTTTCTATCTGTCTGACACAAATACTCATTTGAGACTACGAGACAATTTTAAATATTTAAAAATACTGTGAACATCCCATTCTTGCTTGTCGTCGATTTTCATTACTTTTCCGGAAATTTATGCTTAAGATAAACTAAAAATAAGCGATCTCAGAAAATATATGCACGGGCGAAATTTGTTTCCGAATGTGTACATACCAGAGAGATAAATCGAACTTTAAAATAATAAGACAAGAAATAAACTCGAATGCACCACTTTTTCAACAACAACACAGGTTTAAAAAAGAGACCCGGATAATCTAGTTTAGTCATTACTACCGTCTGCAATTTAATTAACTCGTCTATTCTTTCATCTACATACGAGTCCGTAGTACTCCGAATAGTTACAATATATTCAAATTCTGCCGTTCTTTACCAGGCCCGAGATAGTTACAAGTTTAAATTAACATTAGATTAATAAACTCTAAAATGTAAGTGATCTTAAGTTAATAAATTAAGTCATCAATAAAAAAAATCATCGAATACATAAATAAACCATTTTTCGGAATACTAAAAGGCGTTTCTAGTGAAAAACACGCGAAACTCTCACGGATGGCTAGAAAAAAATGTAATGAACCGATGAATGAAAATTAATCCGCTCGCGAAACATTGGACTTTCAATTCTTTCAGCCCTATGACGGCACGATTGTTAGGAGTCCTCTTGTTAAAGAGGACTCCTAACAATCCTTCACGATTAAGGATTCTAATAAAAAGTGATGTGCATCTCTATAGAGAACTTCCATGAATGTCATCGCTCCTGCGCCATATTTGTGCCGTGCTGTACATAGGTGGATGTGTACGTACTGTATATAGTTTGGCTTGCGTCTGAATGTTTATCATGTTTAGAAGATGGAAAAATATGCATTTTACTTTCCCAACTCTGTATACATAACAGAGGGGAACCGAGAACATTTTTGGACTTGTGGGATCATGAAACATTGAGAAATACAAGAAAAAAAAAGAAAACAAATTGGAGGTTTTATCTGTATGGGCGTGGGGGGGCACGATATTGTTCACTCAATTTGAAGCTGAATTATTTCTATTACTTTTGTCGAAAATCTTTGAAATTTTGCGGGGAAGTTTCTATAAATTGTATATCAAACTCAGCTTCCTTTTAAAATAAAACATTTAACACCTTATAGCGCTGAGAATATTTATTAAATCCCAAACGTTTTCCAGCCTAATGGAACAGGCCATCATACATTAGGCTGAAAACGTTTGGGATTTAATAAATATTCTCAGCGCTATGTGTTAAATGTTTTATGAAGTTTCTATATTTGGAGGTCCGATGCTATTAAATTTTGGTAAAGATCGAGAGATGGTGGATCACGTCTCGAGTAGGGTCGAACTTAATGAAGATTTTACTCGTTATTAACATTTACATTTTTTTATAAAATCATCTCTACCCTCACAATTAAGCATTTTGCCATTTTATAACAACTAAACTTATAAAGTTTTTTTATAACAAAATCCCAAAACAATCCGATTTTTCTCCACCAGATGGCGACGGCGGCGACATTTAAGTGCTGGTCCCGCCGCTTTCGTAGAGGTAAAATTCGACCGAACATTTCCCGGGGCGTCGCCTACGCCGTCGGCCGCACGGGGGCGTCGAATCCGGTTCGGTCGGCCGCCCGATCGCCCAAAATGTGGATTTGCGCTCGGACGCGGGTCAGAGCAGTCCTGGCCCTCAGCCTGGTCCTGGTCATGTGGCTGGCCCTGGGGCCCGGGACTCGGAACCGGAAGTGGTTTCCGACTCCCTCCTCTTCCCCCGAAAGCGTCGCGAATCCTCCTTCCTTCCGCTACCTGCAGAGGCCGCCCGATTGTCCTCCGGGCCGGCCGGTACCTCTGGTGGCGCTGGTGCACTCGGCGCCCGACCACGGGCCCCTGCGACGGCTGCTGCGAAAGATGTGGGCCCGTACGGCCCCCCGAGTCAGACTGGTGTTCCTGCTGGGCGACGTGGAACCCGGGTCGATGCGGACGGCGCTGGAAGAGGAGGCTCGCCGACACCGCGACGTGGTGCGAGGAGACTTCGTCGACTCCTACCGTAACCTGACCTATAAGCACCTGATGGGCCTGACCTGGGCCTCGGAACGCTGCTCGGAGGCCCGCCTTCTGCTCAAGATGGACGACGACATATTCGTCCACTACTTCCGGCTGAAGAGCGTCATCGAGCGACTTCCTCAAGACGACCACCTGTCCTGCTACGTGCACCGGAAGATGGCGGTGGTGCGCCACCCTGGCAGCAAGTGGTACGTCTCGGAACGAGAGTATCCCGACTCCCACTTCCCCGACTTCTGTTCGGGGTGGGCCTACCTGCTCGGGCCCTCGGCCGCCCGTCGACTGGTCCGCGCCTCCCGCCTCCTCCCCTACTTCTGGGTGGACGACGTCCACGTCACCGGCACCTTGGCCCGGGCGGCCGGGCTGAAACTGCACCCCCTGGACTCGCTGTACGCCCTGGACGCCGACTCGCTGGCCCGCTGGGCCCGGTCTCCGGATCGACGAGACTGGAACTACGTCTTCGGCCCCACCCTGGGCGACCCGGATCTGACCCTGCGGGCCCACTTGAAAGCCCTTCGATGCGGCATGGAAGGGTGCCGTCGGGGCCCGGAGCCCGGGCAGTGGGCCACGGTGGCGGCCCGCGGTCGGGCGGAGAGAGTGGACATGGGTCGAAATATTCGTCCCGGGAAGGTAGTGTCGTCGTTCTCTTCCTTCTAGGACCGGAAGAATTTTCGTACAACCATTACTATTACGTAACACAAGAAACGGGACAGAGTACTGTACTGTACATTTCCTCTTAAGATCTTACGACGGGTCGACGTTCGCTATCCGGAAACAGGTAGGAGCCGACAAACTGGAACAACGCGACGGTCAGTGCCACCCAAACCATTGTGACGTCGACTGTCGACGTCACGACGGTTCGAAACGGAAAAATCCGGCGGGGAGCCTCCAAATTTTTCTGTCGGTCCGAAGCAGTTTGACCTTCCCCACACGAACGGAGAGAAATTTATAAAAATGGTGTTCGTCACTTCCGGGTTACAAAATCGCGGAGACGTGTCTAAACAAATAACCATACACGTTTATTACATAATAAAATACCGACTGCGATGCGTATTTACAGATGGTGACGCCGGACCCGGACCCTATCTACAGGGCGGATCCGGACGGGAAACCCGCGCCCGAGGAAGGGGCGGGTCGGGAGGCGGGCTGGAAGAGTTCCACCAATCCCAGATGGTCCATCTCCGGAGGTTGGGGGCGGAGGCGAGGTGGAGAGCGGGGCAAGTTCCGGATGTCCACCGGACGGGAGAAACGCCGTCCCACGTTTTTCTGGAAAAGACGAAAACAAAGGGGGAAATTCTTTCTTTATTTCACGAAACAAAGGGGAGAATTTATAAACTTAATTTAGTTAGAGAGGGGGGAACTTACCCCGACGATGTCCTTGACCAACTTTCGAAACATGTCCTTCTTCCTTTTATCCGGCAGCTGCTTTCCCGCAGGAACGTTCAAGATCTTGTCTTCGAAGTTCTGTACAAAACACGTCACACTTATCACTCCTATGCTATTGTATTTGTGTATCGCGAATGTGTGACGTAGACGGGTTATGTCGTCTCGAGTTTTTCGCGATTTAGAAAACAAAATAAAGAGTTCTTTAATTGTTATTTATTCCTGCGTTAAAACAAGGAACCGGTTACGTTCTCCCGTTTAAACGAACTCGTCGACGCCCCTATTCCGATTACACTACTATCCTTTTAAACAGGCAAAACGAGACAAAAGCAAGCAGAAACAGCAATTGTTTATTGTGACGCAAGGCTGCTATTTTTAATCTCGTTCAATTAAAATATATGCCCTCCACCTCAAATTCCATATGAAATGCAACCCAGTTCCGTCATTGCTTAATCCGTCCGTTAAAAAATACTATATAAAATTAGAAAATAATTGTTTACATTTTACTAATTTGGCTTCAGTTCGAAAAAGTCCATCAACGAGTTGCTTAAGTTTCCCGGCGACATTTGGTGGCGCCATCTGTTACGATATTTTATTGAAAAAGCTTTTTATATTTTTAATTACCATAAAATGGCAAAAAGCTCAATTTTGACGGTAGAAAAGGGTTTTATAAAAAATTATAAATGATGATAACGAGTAAAATCGTCACTAAGTCCCACCCTATCGGAGATATACACGACCCCCTTTATCTCCCCACCCCTTCGACTTTTAATCACCAAAAATTAATAGCATCCACCTCCCTAATACACAAACTTCCCTGGAAAATTTCAGAAATTTTCGACAAAAAGCACAGGGGTTATTAAGCTTCAAAGAGGGTGAACAAAATCATGCCCCCCACACACTAACATTTATATATAAAGAAATTATCCCCGAATTTCTTTTCATTTTTTTTTTACCCCCAAAGATTTTTACATTTTTAGACTTAGGACACCTGGAAACATCGAAAAATTAAAGAAATGTGATTGATGCTATTAAATTTTGGTTATTAAAGGTCGAAGGAGTGGGAGATAAAGGGGTCATGTGTATCTCCAGTAGGACTTAATGACAATTTTACTTGTTATTAGCATTTACAATTTTTATAAAACTTGTCCCTACCCTCAAAATTAGGCTATTTGCCGTTTTATAATAGTTAAAAACAAAAAGTTTCTTAATATGATAACGGATGGCACTACCAAAATTTTAAATGTCGCCAGGAAATCTGAGCAACTTGCTGCTGGTTTATTTCATTAGGTATTTATTTTCCTCATTATTTGTTTGCCTGTCTGCTAACTTTTATTGAAGCTATCAGACTATATTAATTTTTTCAAAAATAATTGAGCAGGATTCCATTCATTCTGCTTACTTTTGTCTACCAGCTTATGAGGGCGTGTGCACCTGCACATGCAGTGTGTTCCAATAATACTCCATTATGTATTCGATTTACCTGCAACTGATCTGGAGAGCATTCGGTGTAGTGCGAGAGAACGTCCCTCAGAACGGGGAAGGCAGGGCGCAGCAACTCATATACCTGGACACCCAAACCCACCAGGAAAGCCTCATTGGCGGCATGTTCTCCCAGTTCTTTAAGGCCAAACAGAACGCACTCCAAGAAGAAAGATGCTTCCTGCTGCTGGATGATCAAGTTTTCTGCCATGAGCTGAAAAGACACGGTAACAACCACATAATTACACAAACTCACAAAAGTTATCAAACCATGGGGCTTACCTGTTTAAGAATGGGCAAACACAGGGGGATGCTCTTGATGCAAGTTAGCGTGTCTATCCAGTGCAGGGCATTGAATACTATGGAAACGATGTATGCACATATTTTCTGCAAGGTGTAAATGTGGCATAGATTAGCAAAAACTCGCTTTTGCCATCAATTACCTTACACTATACTTACCTTGTTTTTCAGTGCTCGAATCCCCAATTCACTCAGGACGTCAGATTGAGGATTAGGCCTTATCTCCACATCTTCGTCCATCACCTCCACAAACTGCTCCACGTTCTTTTTCCCTCCAGTCATGACAACACCTAAAGTAAAAAGTGCCAACTTACCAATGCACACAACATAAGCAGATGACAAAAGAACCATTTAATTACCCAACAGATCCAAATATTCCCTGCTGAGCTGGCGCGTCAGCTGATCTTCTAACACTTCTTGGGTTTCACTGGAGTCGTTCTCATGGGAGGAGCTGAAATGAACCAATATACACAAACTGCATTCTGTGACGTAATAATTCTCAACCAGAAACTCACCTAGTCCTATATCGCTGCTGCAAGACAGACCACTTTTCTCTCAGCCTCTGCAAAAGTATCAAAGTTACAAAGTTGAAAACTGGTCAACTCCATTGACATGTAGAAAAACAAAAACAGAAACAGGACCTCACCTGAAAGACAAAGGGACACAACTGCTGCAGAACAGGAATCAGTGCTTGCGTTTCATACTGGTGGGAACAGTACTGAATGAAAGGCTTGAGGAATACACGTAAAGCAGTCAAGGCCATTAACATTGGTGGGAAAAGTATGTACAGTAAAACCTGTGTAAATCAGAATGTGTTTCCCATTCAGGAAAGTTTTACTCTATACAATTAAGATACCAAAGGATATGAACAATGGGCCTCAGTCTGTAGTCTGGCACGTGGTGCAGATCGGCAAATACCGACGTCAAGATCTGCGATGCCAAGCCAGGCTGTCCATAGAACTCAAGTCCCAAATTTGGTCCTGCATTGCCCAAAATGTGGTAACTAATAAACAAAGTTTAATGCAAAATAATTAGTAATTATAGCCTAAGAGTTTAGTTGATTATATGTCATTTAATAATATATGAAAGTACTGTAATTTCCTTGTGTAATTTGGTAACTGCAGACATAATCTTACTAGTATGGGTCTGATTTTGGTATCAGGTTTTATCATCATATTAATTCTTCGTTTTGTTGAAACAGTGACTTTGTTCTATTTCTTTTTCCAACTTCACAATGAAATTGTATTTAATAAGATGGAAAAAAAAATGGTATCAGATGAATTATTTTAAATCTCTCGAAATAAGGATTGATACAAAGAAAACTCTTATAGGGATAACTCCCTCTGGTTTAGGGGGTTCAACCCATTAACAAAACTCCGTTTACCTCAAGAGTCAAATCTAAATTTCTTCCTTCAAGACAATGAAGCATTATCCATGAGCAAAACAGTTAACCCCCCACTAATAGGGAGCTAAAACCAATTTTTTTTATAAGAAAATATTTTCCCCTGAAGTCAACACAGTACATGAGACCCCTAATTCAAATTCACCTGGGCCCCATAAATGTGTAACGCATCACTGCTTCGAGATTTATTTGTTATCCATTTGTAGTTGTTTTGTTACCTTCTTCGAGATCATTGACCTCGTGTTTTACACTCACTAAATACAAATTCTCATCTTTTTCGGAAAGGAAATCTATCAAATGTCGATATCTCCGTGTTAATTTCATTTGTTTCCACCAATTTGTTCTTTAATTTATTTCTTATTTCTTGTAATTCTAGAATCAGAATATTAATCCTATCTTCCAGGGGAATAAATGTGAAAAGAATGTCTGTTATACAATTAATGTCTTTTGTTGAAATTATATTAGAATTCAATAACTCATTATCCAGATTCAATTTCCTTCCTTTATTTTAATTTAATTAGTATAAATATGTAACTTTTAGAAAATGTATAAAATATTTAAGATCATTAAAAAAAAATTAAAATTAGCAGCTTTTAAAGACTGGGGTCTGGAAAGTATTGGATTATCATGATAGAAACTTTTTAAATTGAGAAAACTGATTTAAAGCCGATTAGCAACTGCAAAACTTTTACGTATATACCCCATTAAAAATCTTTGCATACTCCCAAAGGTGTGAGTATCGCATCTTGGTAAACAAAACTGTACACACCAGTGGTTACTGAATGATGGTGATTGCATATTTCTATCCCCACCTTTTGTGAAATGCCACTATAGACTTTGTTTATCAAACAAACACCCTTTTAAAAATTATTAAAGAAATTAAATGTAAAATTTTTGCTAATTTTTATATTATAATGTTTTATATCTTAAAAATAATGTGTGCCATAGCATACTATTTTCAAGCCACCAGAAACAATCAAATCTCTTTTAGTAAGTGCAGACAGACCACGACTTAATTTATGTAGATTTATTTAAGAAATTTCTGTTGTGAACAAAATATCTACAGAATTTTACAGAACAAACTGGTATAATACAACTAATTGCAAGAAAGCACATTAAACTGCAGTTTAAGACAACTCGAAGCCACTTGCCTATGGTTCCCTCCTCAGTTTACACTTGTTAAATGCTGCATTGCAAAATATATATATAGCAAAAGGATATATATACATATAATGTACTTACCAATTATCATGAATTGTAAATAAGAAATTTTGCATTCTGTCACAAGGCTGTCGGTCACCAGATTCCACGTTGTCCAAAGAAACATTCAAACCTATGAAAGACAGCAGAAATTTAAGTCATGCTAGTCGATTTGTAAAATGGCACAGGCCATGCTCAAACATCTCAAAAATGAAAATCTGTTTTGTGAAGTGTAAATCTCCTTTCTTGCATGCACTATATTTACACCTGCATGTGAGAATAGAGATTTACACCCCACATAGAAGCCTCCCCCACAAAGATATTCAGAAAGAAAATATCAGTTTCTACGTAAGTTGCTCAAATTGTTTACCTCACACCCACAAAACCAATCTCTATTGGCGAGATCACATGGGTTTTTTGGTGGAAACATTAGTCACTTTCGAGCATAGTACACGATCCAATCATTTATATTTAATGTGAAATCCAATGATGGGTGCATTTGATATGGCACCCACCAGTTGCAAAGTGGATGAAATCATTGAATGATGATAGTTTCTGCCATGATCTATAAATCACAGTAGTGTGGTCAAGGGTTTGCACCTGGCCAGCAACATGGAATTTTTCTGGTTTTCTTCAAGTTCCTAATACCTAAACGGGTGCATTTTCCTTAGAAAGTCCTTCTAGGAGGCATCCATCAGCAGATTGCCCACATGTCGCGTTTCCCGAAACAAATAAAGCTTTAAAGGGATAATTTTGTTAAATTATGATAAAAATCTGCATTTATAAAAAGACTTAAGTTAAAAAAATACTAAAACTTAAAACTATGTGTGATGCCATCTGTTACAAGATTTCATAAAACATAATTTTTATATTATTGATTATTATAAAAAGATGCTTAATAGAGACTTAATTCTGATGGAAGAGACTGGTTTTTTAAAAAAATTGTAAATGCCAATAAGTAAAATTTTCATTACATTTGATCCCACTCAAGATAACCCAACCCACTGACATTTACCATCAAATTTTAATAGTATCCATCCTCATACATAAAAATAATCTTGCCAAGTTTTGGTTCACCAGTCCAAGTTATAATACAAATTACACATACACACACACAATTTTGTAAGCAATTTTTACATTTTTGGATTTCTTGAGTGTCAAAATGCTGAGTGTTAAAATTTGACAGATCTCCACACAGTACTTTCCCTGTTATAGTGTATAATGGCTGGGAAAGTCTACCGAAATTATATAATACAATCATGCTAATCCAACAGCTTTTATCATTACCCTAAAATACTATAAGGGACTTTTAAACAGTACATTTGCAGCTCACTTGTAAAGTAAACATAAGTCATGTGTTGTGAGTATTGCTGCTCATCATTTCTGTGACCCCATTTGACTTAACAATTCTAACCTCTATTTGCTGCCATAAAGTAGCTTACAACAGTAAAAAATAGCCTCAAAGCATAAGCATCATATCCTTACTATCATATCCCCTTAATCCAAACTACCAGTGATCTCAATTAGTGTGGATTAGCATGGCTGTACTGTATTTACATTTAAATTTGTTAAATATTCAATTCAATTTGTTGTTTTTTTCTCTATTTTATTAATAAAAAACTTCATGCAGTACCTGGTAATAGTAAATTCTTTTCAGATTCCAACATATCCAAAGAAAAGGTAAATCCGGCATGGATCTTCTCTCTGTTTTCTGGAATCCACAACTTATTTAAAACACTGCAAGAACAGAGAGAACATGACTCTAAATTCAACAAAATCTTATTCTGTGTAGAAATGAACTGAATTTTGTTTACCCAATCAACGAAAAAAGTCCTTTTAACAGAGGATAAACGTGTGGAGTTGCCGGATTTCTGAAGTAGATTGTCTCTGCAGAGACGGCATCGGGACAAAGAAAACCGCCCGATCTGGCAACCTGAAAAATACAAAAATTCAATTATCTGGCTTTGATAGGGGTGGGGTTCTGATTGTGGTTCCACTCTAGGTAAATTTTCTGGCTCTGGCTCTGGCTCCAGCTAAATATTTAATTACTTTTCCACTGTTATATATAATAGAGGGAAAATATGGCAAGTGGCCAAAAAGACCCCCAAGATTTTCCCATTCTTGAAATGTTCAGAAATGCAAAAAAATTTGGTGTTTTTTCAGTATGCATGGATGCTAATGTGTGGAGGGGTACAATTTATTTATCCACTTTGAAGCTTGATAACTCCAGTGTTTTCTGTTGCAAATTTCTGAAATTTTTCAAGGAGGTTTGTATATTGTGTGGATTGATGCTACTAAATTTTGGTGGTTATAGGTTGAGATGATGGGGAAATAGAGAGAGGTTGTGTGTTGTATCTCAAGTAGGTCGGACTTAATGACATGATTAGCATTTTCATTAATTTTTTTTATAAAACTAGTCTCTATCCTCAAAATTAAGGTTATCACCATTTTATAAATAAACTATTGTAACGGATGGCATCACATACAATTTAAAATTTTTTTGCTTGGAAAGTTCTGAAAGTATTTTCTTTAAGTATTATTAAATAAATAAATTGGGTTTGCAAATTTTGCAGTGACTACTGAAATGTGCAGTGAGTGTTTTAATTTTTCACTATTTATAGATAAATAAAAATATTTAAGTAGCAAATGTATGTGCTGCCACAACTGAATAGTGTTTTGACCCTAGTGAATATTAGCAAAACAAACCATCACATTATTTTCCTGAATCGTAAACATGGATCTAAAATCCTTTAATATTTATGACATGACCTTTGACATCTCCATTCACAAATACTTCGGCTGTTCTTAAGAAATCATCTTTTCTTCCATTGATATTCTTTGCATGTTCCATTTGGTACAAATAATGTGTTGGTACAAATGTTGGTACAAATTTGAAAGAACAGTGAATGTTCTTTCAAATTTAAAGATACAATTCTAAAGACGAGTTTAAAAGCTGAAAGCATTTGGTATTCAATAAATGTTATATCCTCATAAAAAACTGCCATGTCTGAATAATATACAGCATGTCACTTATGTAAGGAACCACAGGAATTATGTTGATCTCTATTACTTTACAGGTAAAGCATGACATCAAATAAGAAGGAACAAATTCAAATTTCAATGGTGGAACCTTGTGATCAGTGTGAAGTCGTCAAGGAGTTTAATTAATTAATGGGATGCATTCAGACTTCACACCTGTCATGCAAGACGATCTAGATACAGCCTGTTAAGCTTTGTCAAGCCCACAAGTGACCAAGCAAATAAATCTACCAAATGCTGGTAATTGGTCATGGGATGGGTTCATACCCGGCCAACAGGCTAGCCACTTAGTACTTTCTGGGTTTTCTTCATATCTGAAATACCTAAATAGGTCACAGTTTCTCCATAGAAAGTCCTCCTGCGAGGCATCGCCCACATATTGCATTGCCTCAACCAAATAAACCAAATCAAACCTCTGGCAACTTCACACTGCTCACAAGATCCCACCATCAAAATTTGAATTCACTCCCTATTATTTTGGTGTCATGCTTAACCCATAAAAGAATAGAGATCAATGTGACTCCTACTATTCCAGACTTATGGGATATCCAAAAGAGCCAAAATCACTCAAAAATTTTAAAATGTTAATTTTATTTAAGTTTCAATAACAAATTACAAACTTCACTTAATTTTCAACAGAATAAAACTTTAGAATAATTAAAATTTCTTTAAAGTATTTTACAATATAAAAAGTATATAATGTAACTTACATCGGGATCATCTGGCCATTTACTTCTTCTAATAACACCAAGAATTGTGTTTACGCAATAAGTCATCTTTAAAATAATAGAAAGCTATGTAAGAACTGAGCTTAAAATAATTTATAAAATATAGTGATTGGGTTCAAACCTGTGATCTGTTTATTCCACCGACATCTTCATTACTGGGTGCTTTGGGGGCTCTGTTAAGCCCAATGTGAGTCATGAAGTGGTCGACATTAGACAGGGCTCTAAAAGCATTTAACACAAAACATTTTAAGACACGTTTACAAAATATCAGCACATTAAAAAATATGGAATACCTGTCAAGTTCAGAACTGAGCCAGATGGAAGAAACTGGTCCCAGAGTCTCCTGTAAGAAGGCTGACTGCCGATTATAATCTTGAAATTCATTGCTAAAGAGAAGAAATTATAAATTTGAAAATTGTATAATTGATAAAGTTTATTAAACATTAATTTTTTATACTTGAGGAGTATCAGCGCTTCCATTAATGTACACTTTTCCATTTGTGACAATTGTTCGGGATCGCTACTGATATTTTTTGTGTGTTGATATATTTGATCAAACAGGGGCTAAAACAAATTTAAATACTTTTAATTCAAAAACACAGTAAACTGTTATTTCTCAAATATATAATCAAAATTACCAATAATAATCTGGGATGCTGTTTACATATTTTTACCAGGAAGGAGCAGGCATGACGACGAACATTTTTGACAGCTTTACTCCGAGTGGCTTTGGTCTGGCCTGGCTGACTGAAGACCACTGACATAAACAACTGTAAAATTTTGGACAATTTAAATCTCCTTTCCAAATTTACATTATTGAAATTTTGCATTTGTAAAACTTACTTTTTCTAAAACTTCAAGTAATAACTCTGGAGCCAGTGTCAAAAATACATGTAATGCCGATATGCACGAAATGACACAGGATAATATCAAAGGATCCTACAAATGAAAACTCTTGTACAGAATAAACTTGTAATTAGGCCATTTTCTCACAAAAGACATAATATAATGTATGTAATGTAATATTTTAAACATTTTTCATGTTAAGAAGGAAAGTTTGATATTTTTAACATGCTGGACATTGTTCAAGCAGTTTTTAAACTGTTTAATACATGGCTTGGAACAGTGTTTTAACATATCTGCTATTATGTTTATGTTTTAAAAAATATCAACGACTCATTGTTAAAATTCATTACTACAAGGAGGTTACTTTCAATTTTACTTTCCTGGCTGTTATATGCAAGGTAGCTTCAAAAAGTTCCCAGAATTGGTTTATTATTCAAAAGTATGTGTACAATTGACAAATCAAGCAACATGTTCTTCAAAGTATTGTCTTTTGGCAACCATAGACTTTTGTCAATGCTGGTATAGCTGCTGAAAACATTCTTGGAAGCTGTCTCATGACAGCACCTGCAATGTAGATGTCACACTCTGTGTAACCTCATCTGCATTCTTAAACTGGTGTCCCTTGATGGCATCTATCAACTGGGGGAAAAGGTAGAAATTGCATGAGGTCTGCCATGAGCATTCATGGCACCTTGGGTTGGCAAACACAGTGCATGTTCAATTGATCATGCAGGATAGAATGACAACTTCCAACCAAAATTTCTGCTGTCTTGGCTCAATTGACTGCTGTCTCTCTGACCTCTCATGTACAACAGACACTTTCTCCTCAGAAGTTGATGTCAATGAATGACCACTTCACAAATCATCAATGATACTTTCTCATCCCTCACAAAAACATTTTGCCAGTCATAAACTTGAGATTGCTTCATGGTAGATTCAACATAGATGTCCTGAAGAATCGTCAATGTCTCAGAGAGATTTTTTTCTCAATAACACAAAATTTGATATTTGCATGTTGTTCTTCCACAGACATTTTCCTGACACCATTTCATGTCGCACTAACATGACCTTCAGTAAATGGTAACTGTTGTCGTCTTTGCAACAAGTACAGATTTGTTTGAATGCATTTCTCTATCCCTGATATATTTAACTATGACATGCATTACATGTTCACTTTTTAATTGCCTTTAATTAACTAACCCAGCGTAATTCCAGGAATTTTTTGAAGCTACCTTGTATAACAGAGGGAAAGTATGGCAAATTTCTGCAAAATCTAAAACACAAACCACTCTGGTTTGTGTTTTAGAGTGGATTGATGCTGGTAAATTTTGGTGTTAAAGGTTGAGGGGGTGAGGAGTTAGAGATGGTCATGTGCCATATATTAAATTGGTTTGGGTTTAATGAAGATATTACTCGTTATTAGCATTTACAATTTTTTATAAAACTCATCTCTACCCTCAAAATTAAGCTTTTTGCCATTTTATAATAATTAGTAATACAAAAAGTTTTATAAAATAAAAACTTATAACAGATGGCATCACACACAATTTTAAATTTTTTTGCCAGGAAAGTTCATTGCTGGAATTTTTTTGTTTTGTGTTATGATAAATAACGGCTTTGAATCATGACTAGAAAGTAAGTTTAAACTCTAATGATTAATATATCATGAAGAGTTTAAATTTACCTTCTCACAAAATGATAGCAGACTACAGCAGGAGTCACCAAACTATGGCTGTAGTTCATCCAGCCCGCTGCTGCACTGTACCACAAATGAGCTAAAAGATAATTATTTATATAGAAATATCATAGATTGTAGATAAACTTTCTATGTAAAAAAAATTAAAATAAGTGTAAGTAAAATTTCCAAAATTGGTCCAATCTGATTTTTGCATCTGACAGTAATATAATTTTCAGGAAAATCAGTAAAATAAATAATTCGGCAACTTTTTGCAACTTTGGATATCAGAGCACTTTTTGTGTAAGCACCAGCGATGAAGTTTCTAAGGAAAGTGATTACGAGCTTGCTGCAGCAATTGTGTTTGTGTATTGGTAAATAAATATGTTGGTTGTCTTTATTTTTTGTATATTCAGTGTATTGTATTAAACAAAATGGTTATGCAGCAGGTGCTCATCGTTCTCTCAGTTATATGGCCCGTTGTGAAAAAAGTTTGGTGACATCCTGGTCTACAGCAACTGTCACATTATAAATTGTCCAAACAGCATGAGCCTCCTAAAGCTCATGGGTCCTGAGGCATCATCCCTCTCTTTAGGTCTACCTAAACTATTTTATTAAATAACTATTTTACCCCATAAGCATTGTACTTCATTAAAATTCCAATTTAAAAAAAAATTAAGTATAAATAATTAATTGTATATTATATTTTAACTAGTTCAATATTTTGTGAATTTTCTTTGCAAACTTATTTGAAAATTATCACTAATTTCTGAAAATGTAAAGCAAGCACAAAAAATTTAAAATATGGTAAAATCTGTGTATATTGGAATCAGACTGTACTTAATATTTTTTCTGGTTTTGCAGGTTATTTTATTCACATTTCACTGTAGTTACTGTGAATAGCAGTTTTGGAACNATTATCCAGATTCAATTTCCTTCCTTTATTTTAATTTAATTAGTATAAATATGTAACTTTTAGAAAATGTATAAAATATTTAAGATCATTAAAAAAAAATTAAGTATAAATAATTAATTGTATATTATATTTTAACTAGTTCAATATTTTGTGAATTTTCTTTGCAAACTTATTTGAAAATTATCACTAATTTCTGAAAATGTAAAGCAAGCACAAAAAATTTAAAATATGGTAAAATCTGTGTATATTGGAATCAGACTGTACTTAATATTTTTTCTGGTTTTGCAGGTTATTTTATTCACATTTCACTGTAGTTACTGTGAATAGCAGTTTTGGAACATTTTTTTCCTGCTGAAAATCATGGCATTCTTCCAAAATAACTAAAAAAACTAAAAGAAATACTAAAGTAAAATTCCCTAAATATTGAGATTTATTCTAGCAAAATTTTACCTGAGTTTCATACTTTAAAACAGCCTTCAGAAGCTTAATTCCATCTTCGGCAGATGACTGTAATAATAATTGTTTTAATTACTTATTAAATATTCATTTTTAATATTCTAATATTTTTATATTTATATTTATACTTTTTAAATATCTGATACTGATATAAGGATTTCATAAAATTTTAGAATGAACTGTTTTGTAAGTTCAAACAATTTTACTTTCCTGGCTATTATATGTAACAAAGGAAAAGTATGGAAATCAGTCAAAAGAATGACCCTGAAGCTTTTTACATTTTTCAACTCAGGACCTCAAAACATAGCGAAATGCAAAAAATTTCAGAAGGTTTTTTCTATATGTATAGATATTAGTGTATGTGGGGGGGCACAATTTGTTTCCTCATTATGAAGCTTAATAACTCCCATGTCTGTCAAAATTTTGAAATTTTACAAGGAGGTTTGGGTATTAAGGGCATTAATGCTATTAAATTTCAGTGGTTAAAGGTTGATGGGGTGGGGAAAAAGAGGGGGTCGTGTGTAATATCTCGAGTGGTGTCAGACTTAATGAAGATATTACTTGTTATTAGCATTTACAACTTTTTTTTTTTTTATAAAACTTGTCCCTACACGCAAAATTAAGTTTTTTTTGCCATTTTATAATAATTAAAAATATAAAAAGATTTTTAATAAAATATTATAACAGATGGTGTCATGCATGGTTTTTAAATGTCGTTGCCTGGAATGTTATGCAAGTTGCGTAACATTCCAAAATACTGATTTATTAATTTAGTTGGCCCAATTCATACAAAAATTCAGATAATTTCAATCAAAACTAAAAGANACAACATATATTCATTCAGCCATCTTAATAAAAATGTTCTGCTATATAATAATAAAAAATTTGCTATTCACAAATATAAAGATTCAAATACATTATACATTGTTCGTAATCGGGATAGTTCGACAGCCGAGGGAGTTAACTCTTACTAATGTTTTAATGCAATAAAATAGTTAAGATCTTTAAGAACTTGATAAGTATAAAAAAAACCCAAAAGAAAAAGTATGCTATATAAATAAAATTTTGTTAATATTATGGACGAAACTTGTATAGAATGCACTGTACAGAATTATAATAACTATTATTATTTTATCATAAAGCGATAATATTTAAACATGTATAGAGGCTGGTGACATAAAACTCGAGTTTGTTGAAAATATGGGTTCTTGTTTTTCTCTGTCTGAAAGACAAAAATGTTATATATATATCAGTAAAACAAATAAAAATACATTTATCACTAGTTATTAAAAAATTAATTTATATCACCTTCGTATCATGTATTTTACATATTGATAAATAAGAACAAATTTGAGGTTTTCTCTGTGCCTGTTTTCCAGCTAGCTGACCCTAGCTTCATTCTACCTGGATCCATATATACTCGTACATACTTATTAGCAAAATATGTTTAGGCTAAATAACTAAAAAGTAATGAAACTTTTGTCAATTATTCATTACATATAGTGTCCCATAAGTCTAGAACCATAAGAGTTATGTTGACTTTCTTTGTTCTTTAACAGATAAAGCATTATGCTAAGATAAGAAGGAAAAAATTCATGTTATTTTGATTATGAGAATCTGCAATCAGGTGTAAAAGAATAAACATAGATCAAAATAATCCCTATGGTTCCAGACCCTGCATACAGTAGGACCTATACTGTATACCATTAACTAAATATGAAATTTGTATGTTTCTCTGATAGCATTTAAAATGAAATAAAATCGATAAAAATTTATTTAAAAAGTTTTTAAATTTTATAACTACATCGAACTCCCGATTATCCGTGCATCGCCAATATATTAGAATTACGTATATATAAGCTATAGTTTAGAAGACTATTTTGGATTATTCGTGTTTTCCGTGCACACCCGTACACTAATAAACACGGATAACCGGGAGTTCGATGTATTGTATTTAGGCTATTCTCTAATTATCTAAGATAAATTCATACTGCTTTTTTAATGGTTATTTAAACAATAATATTAAATTTTTCATTTAATTTCTGAAATATTAATANTTTTTTTAATATTTCATATAGAAAAAAATGTGAATAATTTTGGTCTATTTACTAAACCAATTTAATGTGAATTATGTATTATCATCACATTTTTATATTTACTAATATAACTTTAACTCACCTTAGATAGATCGTTAGATAAAATCCTACCCATTACACTTTCTAAACAATTTGCAAGGGCTTCCCATTCTAAGTATAAAGGTGTTGTCATGCTACAAAATCCATTTTCGGCATCTGAAATGTTAAATACAATTACAACAAAAGCAAACTTAAAAATTACGTTTCAAAATGAAGAAAAGTAAACCTTGAGGCTCCTTCTTCAGTTGCATATATAACCATTCGGAAGCGTAAGAAAATGTAATGATTGGATTTGCCATCGTTGCACAGCGGAGCGTTTCACAGACGTCAGACCTAAATTCTAAAATGTAAAAATTACAATTATTACATTTGACATTGTTATGAATTTAATTCAAGTTTATTATTCAACTTACTTCCAAAAAAGGCATTGAAATCTTCGTCACTATCAAAATCTAATTTTGAGTAACTGCAACTGGCGAAATCAGATCTCGAAGGAAAGCCAACCTAAACATTTAAACAATGCAATTATACATTTATTGAATTTTCTGCATCATAAAAGTAATTATTAGCATTTTGAAAGTCAATTTCATATTAATTGCTTTTAAATAAAAAATAACAAATAATCAAATACCCAACAGATCAATGCTTTTATAAATAGTATTTTATAAACCCAGTGGAAAAAAATTAATACCAAAACTTGTCACTGTGGTATATATGGTGCTATAAGCAACAAACATTTTACAAGACACTCTGACTATACAGAGACTGTAGTATGTGGAGGATACTATTCAACAAGTTCTCCACTCTGAATATGTAAAACTTTATGATGATGAAGAGTGTTCCATACTACATTCAATAGTTGACCATAACTGATCCTCTGTGACACTTCTCACATGTAGTGTAATACTCTTGTTTTAATGCTGCCAAATTTGCAATATATCCTCAATAAACCACATTTTCAAGTGCCACAACCAAAAATCACATAGACTAAGATTCAAAGTGCTAAAATTTGCCATTGTGGTGAGCTTTGGTACTAATTTTTTTCTATTTTACAGAAATAAATCTCTTCTGCATAACCCAAAATGTTGCCAGACAAAATTTGATTGAATTTGGATTGCTAAATATCTCTCTTGTCAGTGTTGAATGGGGGTATTTTAATTATCATACCCATTATTACCACTACCATTCATTAGCTTAGAGATAAAAAAAAAACTGAAACCTGGGTCAGATTTTTCACTTTTGCAGCCACAGAACTATTTATAAAATAAATGTTATAACTTCTTGTCATGAAAACAGTTCATTAATCATAAATCTATTTAAAAATGTATTATGAAATTTCATCTACTTCAGCAGTTCTCAATCAATAGTTGTCGATTCACAGACCAGTTAAACAGTCACACACGAACTGTGAATCATCTGTTCTGTCTGTCTACTTCTTATTCTGTAAAAATCTTGTTAATAACAGGCAAAATATTTTGCCACACAATCTATCCAGTAACCTAAGAGACATGTAATGCATAAAAAAACTTCTTTTCCTTAGCTAATTGACACAGAAATTTGAAAAAATGACTAGGTCGATCTGCAAACTGTGTGGCACACATTTGTGTGCCGGGGTCTATAGACCATACTTCAAGAGCCACTAATCTAAATGAAACAAAATAAATAAGTTTTATCAAAAACTGTAGTATTACAGTAAAACCTTGTTAAATCAAAGTTGAAGGGCTACGAGAAATCTCACTTAAAGTTAGTTTAGAGTTAACAAATTTAATACACAATTTTCTCAATTTTTCTGTGCCCATAAATTTTCCATTATCAAGCCATTTCTCAAGAATCTGCTTCTCAATTGCAAGCATTCTAAATTCACACAATGCTTGCAATATCGTACACAGTTTGCTCTTGAGTACATTGTCAAAATGCTCCCTCATGCCCGAATCAGAATGTTGGCATAATACCTTATTGACAAAAAGTATGTCAATGTGAAGTGATAATGGCATGGTGTCATGTTCGACAAAGAGCCATTTATCTTAATCGTTCATATTCACACAGAATATAAGAGAAAGGAAGATCATGGACACATTAAAGAGCAGAGGGTAAATGGGAAAATAGCATTGAGTTAAAAGAATCAATAATTTCGATTTAATGAGACAGCATTATATGGAAAACCCCATGTATTGTGCAGGGACCTGTAAATGGCTTCCAGTTAATGCACTTCGACTTAGGTTTTACTATACATATAATTTTAATTACAGTTATGTTTAGTGAAATAATCTGAAACATTCTACTACATAGAATATGTTTGATTTAAAGGTATAAATAAATATTTGATTGAATACATATCTTAAGTTTAATTGTTGCTTTAAATGTTAAAGAATTATATAAACTATCATACAAAAAAAATTTTAAAAAAGCAGAATTTTCTACCTTAATAAGTTTATCCATACAACTCTTAACAATTTGTGGAATCACAGCTTTAAATGAGACATCTTCAGATATGGCTTTATGATTAAAAAACAAGCTCCAAAGGTTTTGTGTGTAACTGCTCAATACCTGAAAATTCAAATTATTATTATACTTATCTTAAATTTGTCTTAACACTTTCACTACCGACTGATGAAATTTTGTCATGTGACATTTGCCACATGTGCCAACAACGGCACATGTGGCAAATGTCACATGACCAAATTTGATCATGTGACAGCAGATGATGGCCAAGCGATGCAAAGTTGCATCGCTTGGGCAACGAAAGTTTTGGCAAATCAGTGCACACATTGTTTTTTGAATGTTATTTATTACTATCCGCAAGTGTAAGAAGCATTGTGCGGATTATATTTGATTGCTTGTTTCATACTTCCCAGAACACATTTAACTGTAATGGTTTTTCATCATTTGTCCTCCAAAATGAACAAATCAGCACAATCGGTGCAACTTTTTGTTTCAATGGCAGAAGAAAAAGCATTAAGTAGATTACTTAATTTTGAAATAAGAAGAATTAATTCATTCAAAAAGTTATAAAACAGTATAAAAAGCATAAATAATAAATTGTATAAACTTTTTGGATTTGTATTCATTAACTGTGTCAATATTAATCAATAAATAAATAAAATAAATGGAAAAAACTAAAATGCCTTCATTTTCACCATGTTAAATCACCAGAACAAGTCTTTCACTGTAGAGACAACCTTTTATTAGCAGTTTAAAATGTGACAAGACAATATTTAAAAAATACATAATTTCTTCAAAAAATGTATGATGAATTTAAACTGTTTTTGCATATTTCTGAAAAGGCATAGCCTCTAATAAAATTTCGTCTCTGCAATAGAAGGCTGTTGTTCATGATGATTCAACATGGTAAAAATGAAGACATTTTAGTCTCTCTACATACTTTTTTAATGTGTTTAAATTCATTGGCCATTAACTGAAAAAAATATTAATCATTTTTGAATTACTTCTACAGATCAATAAGCTTCAGAAGAATATTCAAAGCAATTCCATGAGAAATCTCTAAAAATCAATCCTGGTTTTCAACCTAAAACTTAAAATATATTTTTTTCTAAAGTAATTTTTGAATCATATCTTTATTATTGGAGACTGTTGTGAGGTCCCGGAAATAGCCCCCCAAAAAGAAAGATACAAAAAAACTTGTTAAGTTAAATCGTCAAGAAAGCAAATTATATAAGTATTGAATTGGCGATACCAGACTTTGATGTCAGCGCTCATAAAGAATAATGGGAAAAACAAAATTTTAGATAAAAGAAGAAAATTTAAAATATTAAAGTTAAGACGCAGTGTAGAAAGCAAAACGAAACTAGAAAAAAATATCAAAATGAGCGTAGGTGTCATAGTCAACAATTAAACACGATCAGAGTCGAAAATGATGGTGTCGGATAAACCATCTCCAGCCGACCTTTCTCGCGAACCTTACAAAGCTCCATTTACACCTGGAGACAGGTGGAAGACCAATTAGAAAACGATGATGTAAGGTCTATCCAATTAGCAAAAAGCCGATCCCAAAAAAGTCATAAAAGCACCAATTCCAAGGACAACAGGACTTCCACTAAGCTTCCACTAAGACTTTCACTAGACTTCTTTTGTGTTCGTGTATCTCCGGTTTTTTTTTGTGCATCCTTTCGTCTTTTGTGCACCGACTTTCGAGACTTCGAACTTTTTGCTCAACACTGTCCATGGGCCCCTATGACGCTGGACCAGATTGTCGCCGAAAATCCCGACGACGCAAGACCAGCACCGACGTCAAAAATTTCCAACAACACAGGACCTTGCCAACGAGAGACTTTATGTAAGCATTATCGTTTGGAATAAACGGTTTACCTTTGTAAAACACTTGTATTTGCTACCTTTAAAAACCGCCACCCACATACGCGTAGACCGTAGACCATCCCGATGGTAGGGAAAAAAAATCTCCCCCCAATCGGCGTTCTTACACTGTCGCATTAAAAAACATCAGGTTATTTTGCAGATTTTGTCTAATAAAATCTATAAACATTAAAATTCAGAATCAATGTAGTAATGAGTTAAAAGTATATTTGCATTGAGAAGCATATAAATTAAAAGGAACAAGTACTTTCTGCCTAAATTCTTTAACATAAATTCTGCCTAAATCATTTAACATAAACATTTTTATTATTTCCTTTTCTTCTTTTTCCTGTGTTTTGATTTTACTAGTTCGTTGTCTTATTTTATTTATATACATTTTAAATATATTATATTTAAAATGTATATAAATAGGCGTGTTTGAAAGATAAAAAGAACAATCAAAAGAGGAAAAGAGGTGTTAGTCAAATTGAACAGAAACAGATGTAAGTTGTAAAAAATAGTAAATAAATGTAAAAAACTGATATAATGTTAATATAATAATTTGTTTAATACAGGCTTAAGTTCACAGTAATATTGTTTTTGTTGGTTAAAATTGAATGTCCAGTAGAGTTAAAAATGAAAGAAAATCTGAAAATTAGTAAATAAATGTAAAAAACTGATAAAATATTAATATAATAATTTGTTTAATACAGGCTTAAGTTTACAATAATAATGTTTTTGTTGGTTAAAATTGAATGCCCAGTACAGTTAAAAATGAAAGAAAAAAGTCTGAAAATTGTAAGAATTTTATTGATAAGTTTGTCGGTAAATGTTAAATGTAATTTTAAAATGTATCTTATTGTTTTTAATTTATATAGAATATACTACTAAAATATCTGCTAAGGAGGGACAAAAGTGTCCGAAATGCAAAATTATGTATGNTTTTTAATAAAATATTATAACAGATGGTGTCATGCATGGTTTTTAAATGTCGTTGCCTGGAATGTTATGCAAGTTGCGTAACATTCCAAAATACTGATTTATTAATTTAGTTGGCCCAATTCATACAAAAATTCAGATAATTTCAATCAAAACTAAAAGACAAATCAAACATTGCAATAGTTTTATATCAATAAACTTATCTTTTTCCAGAAATAATTCTTTGCTGTTGGTTTAATTTGGTAACAAGTTAATTAGTAATGAATAATAAAGGAATCATTAAAATTAAAATGTAATAATAGTTTTTGTGATCTACTTGAAGGACCACAACTCTCCACTTTATTTCTCCCCATAAAGATCTTTGGAAGAAACACAGTAAATGTCTGGACAATTACTATTATATGCACACAAATCAATGTTTTTGCAGATTTTTTAATCTTAACACAGTTTAGTCAAATACTGTATTATCTTCAACCTGATTAATGAGCCTGTGCAAATAATTAGAAGCATACAGCAATGTCTCTGGTATTTGGATTGCACGTAACATATCAAATTTTGAAAATAAAAATAATCCAGTAATCAGGCACTGGGGAACCATCATGCATACGAATCTCTCCAAGATTTGATAAACAAAAGATTCAGAAATAATACATTTAGCAGAGGAATGAATAGGACCCCTGAGACCTCTCCTGTGCAGGTGGCTACCAGGAAGAGGTGCAGCAGACTTGTGCTGGAATTACAGAATGCATACATATCAAATGAGAGAAATGCTTCAAATGATGCTACAAGATCAAAATCATTAAGAAGTTTTGGAATAGATACAAAAATTTCATGCAGCTGTGCAAACCTTAAGAAATGCATTAACATAGGTACTGTACATGGAATGTTAGATCTTTAAATCAAACATGAAAAATGGCAAATGTAATGCATGAAATAAAAAGACTGAAGGGGGATGAGATCTTCAAAACAAGATGGACTGGAAAAGGAGATATTACTACTGATGAAGAAATAAGATTCATCTATTCAGAAAGAGTGGAACATCAATGAGGAGTTAGAGTGATGCTGAAAAAGAGAATGGCTAAATTGGTCGACAGATGTTGGGAAGTATCTGACAGGACTATAGCGCTAAGGATAGATGCTAAACCAAGAGGACTTTTCTTAATCTGGACATACATGCCAACAAATGACTATTCAAATGAGGAGATGGAGGAAATTTATAAACAAATAAACAAATGCCTACAACTTAAAAATAAGAAAGATGTAGTGATTATTACTGGGGGACATGAACACCAAAATTGGAAGAGAGAGAGAAGATAGTGTAATTGGACCATAAAACTTAGGAAAAAGAAAGTGGAAGTAGACTTGTTGAATTTTGCAGAAGAACCAACATGACTGTAACTAACACCTTGTTCCAACAGCATGACAGAAGATTAACTACATGGAGAGCTCCAGGGTTAAGAAGAACAGAAACAAGAAACCAAACTGATTATATTCTAGTCAATTACAGAGTTAGAAATGCAATAATTAACACAAAGACCTAGCCAAGTGCAGATTGCAGCAGTGATCATAGTCTGCTGGTAACAAAACTATGAATACAGCTGAAATCTGTTAGGCCAAAAAAAGCAAAAAATGACTCAATAGGGAAAGACTGTATCAAGAAGGCTTTTCAGACTGACATGTCGAAAAGACTGCAAAATTTCAACACTAACAGAAGTGCAGAAGAAATTTGGAATGATTTGAAAGAAAAATTAAAGACACTGCAGTTGACATCCTTGGCAAGAAAAAGAGATAAATAAAGAAGCCTTGGGTCACAAGAAAGATAGTAAAAAAGATGAAAGAAATAAAACAATATAAAAATGCTAATTACACGAAAGAAAAAGAAAACTATAGGATCATTAATAAACAAATAAGAGAAATGTGGAAACAGGCAAAGGAAAAGTGGTTGAATCAATTATGTCTGGAAATAAAGCACCATGCAAATGGGAACGACTTAAGAAGAGTATATAAAAAGCTAAGCTTAATCTCAGGGGAAAAAAAAATGCAGAATTGGGACTCCAAGGGATGAAAATGGAACATTTTATTGCAGAAACATGAACAAGTGATAAGATGGGAAAGATAGGTAGACAATCTCTACAGAAATGAGGACAGTTTAAACCTAGGTGGGATGAAGAAGAAAGAAGAGAGTGCAACCTTTCTTAAGGAAGAGAATGACACTGCATTGAAAAAACTCAGGAACAAAAAGGAACCAGGAAAAAGTAAAATACAAAAGAAATACTTAAAGCTATGGGAGAAGATGG